ACAAGCACACTGTCCATGGAGTGTATTACAAACATGATGTCTTGAGGCATATCCAGCCTCTTTTCAGCTTTTCTTCCCCACTCTCTCTCCTGACTTTTTGGGGCAATAAAACCCCCCACCCTGATACTTTCTGTGGCTTTGATTTTTAGGTTATTCCTTCTGCCAGACCTAAGGAGCAGCCTTGTAGGATTTGTCCTGGGTTATTTCCACTGTACGACATTTGGTTTCGCAATTGTTTCGCTTGAGAGTAGAAAAATTGGCCTTTGGGGTTTGTTTAATAGAAAACTGTCCTGAGTCTTTGTCTTTTTTTGCAAAATAATCTGTGGGAGGGAAGCAGGGAGGCCAGTCTCTGGCATTCGTGGCCACTTGCACAACCAGTGCCAGCAGAGACTTTTCATCAAGAGCTCCTGTTTTCCTGGGCTGGGTCTCTCTGGTGAATTTTGGTTACTGAAAGGATCTGAAGGTTCTTTCCCCCTGCTCTTGTTGCAGGAAGGGACAAGAGACCCCCAGGGGTCGGGGGGGAGCAGGGGGACAAACCCAGTGCAAAGCAAGGTGTGTCCCCACCCCTTTGCCTCCATCCAGCTCACCAAACCACACCTCAGTCCTCACCTCTCTGCTGGTCCCCCCCAGTGGAGATGACAACTGTGCCAAATTTTATGGTTTTATGATACAGACAAAAAACTGTTTACTGAAAATAGGTTGCAACTTGTGGCTTAAAAATGCATTTGATTGCAGGTGCACCGGGGTGGGAAAGGCCCCCCCAGGGCACCGTCCTGATCCATCGCCCCATTTTTAAGTGTACTTCAGGTATTTTTAAGCATCCTTATTTTGTAAACCTTTAATTTATAATCTGAACAGATTAAGCAAGACTTTGGCCCTTTACAGTGCTATTGTCTCCAAGCTGAGAGTGGCAAGGATGGGAAGGGAATAACGAGGCAGGTTGGAGAGGGGCTTGTTCGTGTCTGAGGGTTTCAGCTCGACCTCGAGTCAAGAGTTTGTTCTTCCATTTTGTTTGAAGGATCTTTGCTTTTTTGGGCTTGTAATTGCTTTGCCAGCTCCTTGAATGTAGTTTTTTTTTTATATTTATTTGCACATTCAAGTAAAATAAAATAACGATTTTAAAAGTCCGCGGCTCTCGCTGGTTTGAATTCCTTTCCTGTTAATTTAAACTTTCTGACAGCGCCCAGAATTGACTGACTTGTACCTGAAGATGGATTTTAAATGGGAGAAAAATGCAGTTGAAAAGGTGGATGAGCTGCTCTCCCAGCAGTTCCTGGGCAGAGGGCAGGATGTGCTGATGTGTCTTTGTTTCCAGTGGGGCAGCCGGTGCTCAGTGAGGGTGTGAGCAACAGCACTTGCTAAGAACAAAGGGAAATCACCTCCAGTGGAGATCCCAAACAGGATCCCACATCTGTGCTGCCAAAATCTCTCTTAGAACCCAGGCCCACGACTGGAGGGGTCTGGGGAGTCCAGGGGGTGGCACAGTCGCTCCGTGCAGAGAAAGGTTTCAAAAGAAAACGTTGGAAGGGCTGGAGCTGTGCCAGGGGGGTTGGGATGGATCTCAGGGAAAGGTTCTTTCCCCCAGAGGGTGGTGGGCACTGCCCAGGCTCCCCAGGGCAGTAGGCACGGCCCCAAGGCTGCCAGAGCTCCAGGAGGGTTTGGACAGGGTGGGATTGTTGGGGTGTTGTGAGCAGGGCCAGGAGTTGGACTGGATGATCCCTGTGAGTCCCTTCCCGCTCAGGTTATTTGTGTCCTGCCAGACAGCAGCATCTTGCAGCTGGCTTTACTTCCAGCAGCACCTTTGCCACAGAGCTGAGGCACAAAAACCAGCCTAGGTGTGGCCCCAAGGAACTCACACACTCCTCACAACCAACCCTCAGGAGAAGTGCCTGCTCCCAGCTCTGACATCCATCAGAACATCTGCTACAGGTTAAGGCAACAGCGCTGCAACCACAAGAACAACCCTCTACCCGCCTTTCCTCTCAACCTCCCCGAATTCCTGGCTAATAACACGTTGAACTGTGTTCCCTGTGAGCCCTGCACAACGAAGGAACGAGCAGATTTGTGCAGATTAAGCCGTAGTGATGCGACCCAGAGCCGAGAGGAGTTTCCTTTACATCACCCCCAACACTTGCGTTGCCATAACAAAGGGCAGCTCTGCTTTCTGGGCAGCCTCCCAGGGAAACAAACTGCTCTTCTCCCAGAAACAGCCCTCTGATGCCGAAATTGCACGGAATAATCTGATTAAAGGGACGGTGGGGAGGTCTCAGAGGACACAGCCCACTTTCCACAAGTGTTCTCACACAGATCTCTCAGCCTTCTCACCGAGAGGACGATCCCTGTGCTCGAGGGGAGGGGTGGCCAGATGTGACATCATCACCCAAGAGCAGTTGGAGGGCTCAGCAAGGACAGATTTGGCAGTGGCAAACAGCTTAAAAAGAGGGTTGCAGGATGGGATAAGAATAAATGGGGTTTGCAATTGCTGAAGGGAGCACCTGAGTTCAATATTGAATATTTCAGGACTTTTTTAACATTTCCATCTCAGTGATGCACAAGAGAATCAGGGCTGGGAATCAGTGAGAGGGTCTAGAACTGTGTGTGCAAACATGGATTGAGTTTTTCCTTGTCCTTTAGCCACTCCTCTGGATTAGAACTAATTCAATGAAACTGAGAGTATGCTCTACCAATTTACAGACCACATTAAAGTCTAGCAATTCTAAAACCAGACCTGTGCTAAGGAATGAATGCAAAGAGTCTCATCTGAGAGCTGGTGTTGACAAAGGATGATGATGGTGGGTGTGTCATGATCTTGCTGAGAAAGGACCAAAAGGAGCCGTTCCAGAACATCCAGTGGGTTGTACTGATGTAAATAAATCTTCAAAGAATCCTGGAAAAAACGTCTTCATGTCTACACTGTGAAGTGAAAACTGTGAGCAAGCAGAATAATAGTTCTGAAAAAAAAACCCCAGTCATTTCCCTACCACAGTTTGCCCCTTCCAAGCCCTAAAGATAAATGGGGCAGGCCAGGTGGTGTTCTTACCCTCCCTCTGAGCTTCCAAACCCCCAGCCTGTGTTCCAGCATTACATCTTTTGGGTTCAGAGCCACGGAATAAAGAAGAGCCAGCTCCCAGGAGATGATCTATTGCACAACGAATTACTTGAAAACCAAATTATTACCCCACAGGGCAAGGATCACACGACTTAAAGAGATGTTAACAAGCCATGACAAACCTCTGGCACCGGGAAGTTTCAGGCAAGCTGTTCTGCATCTGAGGCAGTCACTAAAGATCACACAGCATCTGAAAAATGAGGGATCCAGCCATGAGTAACCTCTGTGTGCTCCACTCCAGAGACCTGCCCATAGGAAGCAGGGCTGTGATTTGCACACTATCTGAACCTGATTAGGGCTAATTTTTTTTTGCATACAGAGCATGGAAAGGATCCTGGCTGAGGCAGGGAAAATATGTGGCCACATGAGTCATGCTGTAATGGTTCCTAAATCCTGAGAGGGTCACAAAAGCAAAACATCTACCATTGCATCTTCCCTCTCCCTGCCAGTGGAACTCCACCTCTCGGCACAAGGATGTGGGAATATGGTGAAAGCAAAGGAAATGGGATCATTTTCTCCTTGGAATAGAAGAATCTCATCAAACAGCAGCCCAGGCTCAGATTTGCAGCCTTCAAAGAAGAGGCCATTCATAAGCTGAGGAGGAAGGAACGAGCTGCTCCTCAGGTTGCCAAACCAAATTTACAGTTCCTACTGCTGGGCTCCAGCTCCTGTCCTTCCTCCCTTGCAGAGCCAGGCAAGAGCCTAAAAATCAGCACCCCCTCCATCCACAAGACACTGTCCCACTGGCCCATCCACGTGCTGGCCACAAGAGGTGGGAGATGGGAGAGGATTTGGGAGCTTCCCAGTGCAGGGCAGAGCACAGAAAGGACTTCCTCGAGGGGTTGGAGAAGGGGGGACCGGGCAGCAAAGGATCTTCAAGGCTCAGGTAACACCTGCCAGTGCCTCTTCCAGCATTATCTGAGTTGTCCTGTGTGTACAACCAGCAGGTCCACGTGCTGCTCCCAGCTCTGAGCCCGGGGAGACAGCTCAGTCCTCCGGGGTGGGACTGCCCAGCTCTGGGAAAACAAGCTCTTCTGGGGCAAGAGTAACTCACCCTTATCTCCCCAGCTGCAGGGATTTCCTGAGCCCTTCTCAGGCCCCTTTCCTGCTGGACGGAGCTGCTCTCCCTGTGCAGGTTTATCAGGGGAAGCACAAGCGTCTCCCTCACTTTGCCACTTGCCCTTGGTGCTCCTGCTGGTTCTTTCCAGCACAAATAGCTCCGACCCAGAGGACTTTTAATCATCCTCTGCAGTAAAATCCAGAAGGTGCAGGATCTTCATCCCCTGTTTAGCCACGGAGCAGGAGCAGGAATGAAGGAGCAGATCTCTGAAGGGTCGAGGCTGCAAGGTTGACACCAAAAACCTTCAACTGCCAGAACACTAAAAACTTCAATTACCAGAACACTAAAAACTTAAATCGCCAGAACACTAAAAAATTCAATTACCAGAACACAAGCCTGCAAAAGCCCCCTGTAATCCCTGGGAGCTGGGGAGGTCTGTCCAATCCTCAGCTCTGATGCCTTCCCCTTTGTAAGACTACTGTGATCCAGCACGTGGGAAAAGATCTGGATCTCCCACAGGGCCACTTGGATCTCTCTGTGGGTGGGAAGGGTGCTCAGCATCCCCGTGGGTGGGTTCAATTTACGTGCAAAAGCCTGACCACGTTTGTTATTTCCAGGAATATCCCGGAGCAGGAAGGAGACCCAAGTGAGTCACTGATGATGAAGTACAGCCCTGGTACGCTTTGGATCTGGATTCTTACGCCCCTCCCAGCCCCCTCTGACGCTGGGGTTGTGTCTGCCAGGGCAGCACAGGCTCTGACAGCCCCCCCCAGTCTCATCCTTCCCGGGATCTGCCTCTTGCTTCCGTGAGTTAAGGACTGACCCAAGGAAATGCGTAAGCAGGGGCGCTGATGCTGCTGCTCCCACACAGCTCTGGCACCGCTGTGGGGCACTGGATCCTGCACCAGGATGGGGACCCTGGGGAAGGGGTGGATGTCTCACGGGCTCCTGCTCTGCTGTGCCTTCTGGGGACTCCACGTGGCCTCTCAGGACTACGATGGTGAGTGTGTGGCTCTGGGGTGTTTGGTACCTTTATAAGATCCATCAAAACTCATTTTTTAATGACTTTACGTGGCAGCACACTCTGATAGAGCTTCGTGCAGGCTCTGGCTGAAGCAGGGGGTGACAGGAGGTGACAGAGGGGATCTGGTAGAGGAAGAAGCTGGGGTGGAAGAAACGAGAAAGAAAAAGCAGAGCAGTAAAACTGAGCACTTGAAAGCCAAATTTAGACTCCCACAGCCATGACTTTACACTGGAACGGCTCCAGACTTCCAGATCCTTGTGAAAGCTGGACAGAGGAATTGCTTTCTGGCCTCCCAGGCCTGCTGATGGTTGTACAGCACCACGGTCCCTCGTGAGCTGTGGGAAACCACAGGGGGCAAAGGAATTGGGTTCATTCTCAGAGAGGTTGCTGAGGTGACTCCTGCACACCTCAACCTGTCAGCCAAGTTTTTCTGCCCACCACACACCAGCCTTTCCAGAGCACTCCCAGTTCCAGGGATCCCGACAGGGATGGGCACTGGGGGCGAGCGAGTAACAGGCTGCCTTGTCCCCCCAGATTACTCTCAGAACAGCACCAGCGACCAGGACAAGCCTCCAGAGATCACCCCGTGCCCCCGAGCCATCCCCGGGGACAAGGCCACGGTGAACAACATCACGTACCTGCTGATCCCCGAGGCCACGCGCGCCCAGCTGGGCAGCGCCCTCACCGTGCGCCTCATCCCCGCCCTCTACACCCTCGTGTTCCTCGTGGGGCTGCCCTCCAACGGGCTGGCCCTGTGCGTGCTGGCCGGCCGTGGGGAGCGGCTGGCCCCCACCGTGTTCCTGATGAACCTGGCCGCCGCGGACCTGCTGCTGGCGCTGGCGCTGCCCTTCAAGATCTCCTACTACCTGCTGGGCAACCACTGGCCCTTCGGGGAGGGGCTGTGCCGGCTCGGCACGGCGCTGTTCTACGGCAACATGTACTGCTCGGTGCTGCTGCTCACCTGCATCAGCGTGGACCGCTACCTGGCCGTGGTGCACCCCTTCTCCTCGCGTGCTTTCCGCACCCCCGCGCTGGCCGCCCGCACCTGCGCGGGTGTTTGGCTCTGCTCGGCCGCGCTCACCCTGCCCCTGGCGCTGCAGCGCCAATCCTACCCCCTGCTCGGCGCCGGCATCACCCTTTGCCACGACGTGCTGCCCCGCCGCGAGGACGACGGGTATTATTTCTACTACTTCGTGTGCCTGATCGCCTGCGCCTTCCTCCTGCCGCTGCTGCTGGTGCTGTTCAGCTCCTGCTCCGTGCTGCGCGTCCTGCTGCGCGCCGGCCAGCGCTACTCGCACCCCGCCAAGCTCACGGCCCTCGTGGTGCTCACCCTCGTGGGTTTCTACGCCCCCAGCAACCTCCTGCTGCTGGCTCACTACTCCAGCTACTGCTCCGGCCTCCACGGGCAGCTCTACGTCAGCTACATGGTGAGCCTGGCCGTCAGCACCTGCAACAGCTGCGCCGACCCCTTCGTCTACTACTACGTGTCGGAAGAGTTCAGGGATGAGGTGAGGGAAAGGCTCTTCGGGGGCAGCAAGCAAAGCAGCGCTTCCCTGAAGACCTCCAAGTTCTCCCAGGAGACGCCCCCCCGTTCCAAGAGCTCGCTGGTGTGAAGCCCCCCCAGCCCAAGCTCCCCCCGCTCCCGGGGCACTCACCGTGGGGATAAAGATGAAGGTGACGCCGCGATTCCACGGGTTTCATCCAGGAGCCGAGTCCTTTTTCCTGCCTGCACGGCAAAGAGGGAGTAAAGCTGGGCTGAGGGATTCTTTGTGGTGCTGACCTCACACAGCAGCTCCTGAGACGCTGCAGCTTCTCACCTGGTCAGGGATCACCAGGGGTGTTCTTGCTGATGCACCTGGGGTTGATTTCCCTGACCCTGCCAGCTGATTGCTCTCTGCCTTCTAACTCTGCTCCTGCTCCTTAAACACATATTCCCTTCACCTCAAAACTGAGAAAGATCAGGCACTGCAACCCCAAATTTCTAAATTTCAAAAGGTTCTCTCCTGGACTGAAACAGTCAAGAGAATGTAGAGCACTGGCTCTTCTGGCAAAGACATTCTTGGCTTGATTCATAAACAACCCCACAGTAATGTCAGCTCATTGTGCAAAAATCCCATTCACTCATCCCTGTTTTTGCAGGTGACCCTTGACATCCATCCTTTCTTTGGGGCAAAGATTGTATTAATGGATTTCTTAAAAAAAAATTAAAAAAAAGTCTCTTGAAGGGCAATATTAAAGCAGGAATGGAGCAAACTCTTGCTCTAGGACTCCACACTTCTTTTGTGTAATGCCACCCACAACCAAAAGCTGACAGAGGTGCTCAGACTTGTTGTTTATTGGAATCTGCTGCAAGTTTGCCACTTTTGTCAAACTGCAGCAGGCTCATCTCTCCTAGCCCAGTAAGAAGCAAGGTAGAAAATGAACAATAAACCTCCTTAAAGTTCCTGAATTGTTTGGTTTTCCTGGTACAGACTCGAGCGTGTGAATAAAAAGAGGCAGGCAAGACTGTCTTAAAATAAGTTTTTAATAAAAATATTTATCAGAATCTAAAACAAACACTTTTCTGGACTCAGACTTGCTAAGATCTGCGTGAACAAAACAAAAACGCTCAGAGAGCTGTTGGCATGTACCTGTGTGTGGAGGGGCAAAGGGCAGGGGGAAGATTAGAGCCGGTCTGGGGGTGCAGGGGATGCTCCAGGGGCTGACCAGGAGCCCAGGGACATCAGAAACAGCAGGTACTGAAAAAAAAAACCCCAAACCCAACCCAAGTTGAGGCTTTTTTTTCTAAATAGTTGCTCTATTCACAATAATGAAAACCAGGTTATTGTGCATTAAATGGCCACAGTCAGCAAAGCAAGTGCTGGTGGTGTCAGTGATGTTCTCCAAGCAAGCTGAACATTCTTCTGATATTTGTTTTCTACTGAGGCTTATTAGGAGGGAGGGAAAAAGAGGCAAGACCAAAACACTAGGACAAGAAAGAACAGGGGGGAACTATTGCTTTAAAATAAATACCATGGTAATGATTACTCTGCATAATGTACAGTTACAAATATATAAATATTAATCTCCTTGAAAGGACTGCAAGCATCAATCACTGATAACTAGCACTGCTGCAGCTATTCAGTAACATAACTCAATGGAAGAAGCTTTTTCTGTGTCTTACAAACCCACTGGCACTTTTCTCCTTTTTGCAGTGAGGGACCATCAGGGAGAGGAAAGGAGAATCATCTCTCTGACAGAGGGAGGCAAGTTTGCTTTCGAGCCAAAAACAACCTGCTGGCTTTGCTGGCTTTGGCTTTCCAGCACCCAGCTGGTCTTTTCCTTGGTGAGAACAAAACAAAACAAAACAAAAGAAATAAAATCAATCCTTCTCTCCAAACTGGGACTGGTTGATGTGCACCAAGTGGGGGCCTGAGTTGTCACTGCTGGGGTGTCCTTGTGCTCTCAGGGACAGGAGTGTGACTGAGCAGCTCTAGAGTGGGAGCTGAGCCAAAGCCCAGTGGTTCTCAGGGCCCCAAGCCTAAGGAGTGTCTGTACTCCAAGTAAGACGTTGAAGGATGGAGAAAAAATAATCAAGAATTAACGATGGTGACAAGAAACATGAACAGCAAGTGTGGGACAGCTCTGGACAGAGGGACCATGAGTTAGGGTGGAGAAGAAAAGAGCAGAGACTGCTCCTTTACTCCTGGGAAGGGGGGAAAGGCAACCACAGCGGTGCAAGTGCAGGTTCCTTTATGCAATTCCTTTAATAAAATGACTTTTCTTTTTTTAATTTATTTTCAGTACAGAAAGGAGCTGGTTTGGTGTGGCAGGAGTGGGGGGAGGCAGAGGCTGCCAAGAGCAGATGGGCTTGCCCTGGAAGTGCCCGAGCCGGGGAGAAGCACTGGAGGTGAAGTCAGGACCCAGAAATCCTGTCCCATCACTCCCCCCACACACTGAACTGCTCTGTCTGGCCCCAAGGCTGCTCTGCCTTTGCCTGCTGAGGGCCCAGATCTCCACGGATTTACTTGGAATTGGAAAACAGAAGCAGGACTCCTGTGCCTCAGGTACACACAGACCCCTCAGACAGGGCTAGGATTGATGGGCTGGCACCACCAGCTGGAATTATTTACCTGGCAGCGACAGGGAGATGTCTGAATCTGGAATTAGGACATTCCATGTGCCAGGGCCTGAGGAAAAGTGAAGAAAGTCAGGTTTAATGCTTGGCTGAGACTCCCCACCTTCACCTCCTCAGCCCCAAGGGGGATGCCTGGACTGCCCAAGGACCTGTGAGAGGACCAAGCAGTGGAAAATGATTTCAAATATCCCTCAATGGATATCCAAAGATAAACAATGGATGAGAGCAGGAAAGTGCAGCCAGAAGGGGACTGAGGACAGGAGATTGAAGCATCCAGAACACAGATCTCATTTTTAGGGGAAGCCAGTCACAGACAGCATCAGGGTGACTGTCTCATCCTCCCACACTCACAGCACCAAACAGCTGAAGCCTGAACCAGCAAAGAGCAGGGTTTGCATTGTGCAGCTTTGAGATTTAGAAAAGGAAAAAAGAAGAAAAAAAAATCCAAAAAATCCTGTTGCAGCTCACAGTAGATCTGTTATTTACCCAGGGGATAAATATTGACTCAGCCCTGCGTGTGTACACAATAGCCAGTGTCTGCCAGGCCAGCTGCTTACAGGAGGTGGAATTGAGTTTGAAGGTATTTATTTATTTACCTGCCAGGCAGGAATGCAGCCAGTGCTTCCCCTGTGCCTGCAGACACGGGGGGGAGGGCAGATCTGCCCCCTCTGCAGAGCCAGGACACGTGGCAAACCATCAGCAGGGCAGCAGTGGGCACTCAGAGCTGCAGCCACGGCAAGATCCCGCGAGGAGAAGGCTGGAAAACTTTCCAACAAAGCAGCTCTGGAATTTGTGGGAACTTCAAGACCCAGACCTTCATCATGTCAGCTACATTCTGCAAATGCCTGGCCCCAGATAAAAAAAAAAAAAAAAGACTGGCAATACACATGCCCGACCTCGGGGATGCCTCCTGGTTTGTCCCCATGTGGACATTTTTCTGGGATAAACCTGCCTTTATTCTGGAAAGGAATGTCTATACTGGGGGATATTCTTGTCCTTGGCTGCTGTGTAAACGAGCCCTAAAAATGAATGGAGCAGGGCTTTTTTTTTTTTTTTTCTGTTTCCATTCACCAATAAACAACCCTCAGAAGGAGTTTCCACCCTGCTCCGGGTCCTGGTAACAATAGAAGGGGGAAGATAAAATATTAACACTATTTTGCAAGAGGCAATGAATTGCATGTAACTCCTCCAAAGAGAACAATGCTGCTCCAGGCAGGAAGGGAAGCTAAAAAACCTTGGCCTCCTCCACTTTTGGAAACACCAAGCTTTTGTTTTGAGTTTTTTTTCCACGTTGCTTTGGGGCAGCTCAGACTGAGGGAGCCCAGGGATTGGTACTGGCCAGCAGACCCTGGGCTGGGCAGGGAGCAGAACAACCACCCTGCTGGATCCCAGTGGGAGCAGAATGAAAGGGATTGGCGAAATCAGGCAAGCATTTCAAAGGACTGTGCCTTGGTCAGCTTCATTTTCACGCCCTGGTTGGAGGAGGAAAGGGCTGAGAAGGCTGCAAGCAGCACATAGTGCAACACAAAGAGGGTTCCCCCACCCAATCCTTGTCACTGCTGGGGCTGGAAAACTCCCACCTGAGGCCTGCAGACACCAGGCAGGCACAAAGCCTTTCAGCCCTGGCAGTGGATTCCAGTTTTCTCTGGTAAAAATGTACCTCCCAACAGCTTCTCTGAAGGTGGAGCCGCAGGGAAGTGTCTCTCTTGTGGATGCAGCAGATTTACAGGCTGGGGGAGATGATTAGCCTCTTGCTATTGTCATAATTAGCAAAACACACGGATTTTTATTATTATAATTCGAGCAAAAAAAAAAAAAACTTCTCAGCCATCTTTCCTCAAAAACAGCAGTTCAGCTAAGCACAAGGCCTGGACTTAGCTCCTAAATGTATCTAGGAAATGGCACTTGCAGTATATCCTGACAGCAGAGGAAACACTTGGAAATGCTCTATGGGTTTGAATTTCCAGCCCCTATTTTTTCTCACCTAGAGGGCACAACATACTGGTCTCCCATCACTGGAAGGGCTCCAAGGAGAATGCACAAAAGGCAGGAAAAAACCGACAGGAAAAAAATCCCTCTGAGCGTCCCCCTTGGAGCTGCAGATCCGCCCCGGGGGGGGCAGCGAAGCCGACAGTTCCGAGGGCGTCGGGAAGTAGTCATCGTTTCATCATTCAGTTTGTGTTGTGCAGCAGGTCATCTGGAGGAACCAGCTCATCCAGGGGTTGATTCTGAGCCTCTTCTCTCGGTGTAAATGGCGGATTTCTGGTGGAAAAGAGAACACAGTGAAGACGAGTTGGGTGTGTCGGTGAGACATCGCCGAGCTGGGCGGGGAAAAGCTTCGAAGATGATTGTTCTTGCTGGGGATGGAGCCACAAAGCCCTTCAAGATCCCCTTCCCAGGGAGTCCTTGCTAAAGAGGGAGGTGCAAAAAAAAAAGCCCCTTTTTGAGGAATTAAACACATTTGAGTCTCCAAGCAGATTTCTGACCCCCCCACCC